ATCTATCTATCTATCTATCTATCTATTTATTTATTTATCTATCTATCTATCTATCTATCTATTCTATTATATTTATGTCAAAGGTGATCACTTAAACGTTGTCCACAAAATTCCAGTAAGCCATTTTGAGGGCTAATCCTGCACGGTGAGGATTTGCCAGTACTCTAATCTCACTGTTCCAACAAGACTAAATTGCTCTTGATGCTGTGCTAATTTAAAAGGCTGTGATTTACAAGCGACAACAGCAGTTTCATGCACAGTTTAACTGAGAGACAAGCAAAGTTTAAAAAAGATTGCATACTTCTCTGATTGAAATGGCCGGAATACAACTTATCGAGCGTATCGTGCGGTCATACATGCTTTTGATTTCCTGAAATTGAATGGAAATAAACAAGTGAATAATGCTCGGTGACGGGGTTGCCTATGGGAATCAATGAAGTGACAAACAGTAGCTTATCAGATTTAAGGAATGATAGTCCTTGGATATCTCATCTGGCTATCCAGCTGGATAAATCGCTTTTGGTCAGTCGCATGGCTTCAGAGTTAACTCACGTGATAATTCACGTGATTTCCGTGTGTCAAATGTCCGGATTTCAAAACACGACAGGGCTAAGGATATGCTCTACTAATTAGCTTTAATAAGAGCGGAACTCGAGTCGAGTGATTTAATCTTTGCTGTGGACTTATCAGAATAAATGCTCCAGGACAGCAGAAAAACAGCTTGTACGCTAAATTTGTCCCTGTTCAAGGACGAAACCAATAAGCCTTTTTAACTGGTGTCACCACGAACAGTTTATCGCCTGATCATGAAGGATCTAAGCTTGGGAAGGCAAACGAAAGTTTCCGTTTTTGAACGTCATAATATTTCAGGAATAAATGTCTGGTCATCCGTAAATGAGAATTAGCCGAGAATCGAACACCAGATGAAGACAAAGCCCCCGTGTGTTGTTGGGGCGAGAAGTGGTTAGAGCGTAAATTTACTGACCGGAAGGTCCATGGTTCGAACCCGACCTCTGCCTCTCGACTTTCCCTGTCTAGGCTTGGGCAACCTGGCAGTATCCAGGCCCTCAAGTCTCCCTAGTGTGGCATGGCAGTTAGGCACCTAAAGGGTGCTACGGCTGAATGTTTTTTTTGTGTTGTGACAAACAAATTGTATTCCGTTTGTGGAATCTTTCGTTGTCAGTAAATATCAGCAGGTTATCAAATACCGGAATCCACAATACAAAACAGCTTCGGATTGCCAGGGTTGGACCATTTAATCTGGGGGTAATTCAACAAATCATACGATATGACGTAGCACATCATACCTCTGTATCCAGATCGCCACGACCATATGCAGTTATTCGTAGTTGGCAAAGAAGCTGCGTGACGAATGCCATTTGGTCAGCAATCGTTATACTTCCCAGTGTATCCAGCTGCTCGGTCAGTGGGAATGCCGGCTTGTGCGTGAGAAAGTGAAACAGATTCCTGAAAATAATCAAATTGGCTTGCGATTAGAACTTTGTATCAAAGGAATCGATTTTTATGAGAAATTTAGTATGGAATCAAGTGCTTTGTAAACCGTAAGGCCTTAGAAAAGCCGAGAAAAAGAAAAAGGGTTCGGAGTAATATACTCAGTTGCACTCATATCATGTAATAATGCACCTGGAACGAATAGTCCTGTTCTAGGGCGGTTCCAACCGTTTCGTAAACAAACAGGTGCTTGAAGTAATCCGAGCATACGTCCAGATGACATATCCACTTGAACTGAAAATCTTCTGGTTCAGGTTCTCCATCGAAAAGCAGGCGGATAAAAGCGCCGCTTCGTTGTGGATTTTGCCGGTCTGAAGAGCTAGCGCTGTCATACATTTGTCTTGAAAGCGCGTATTGAGGCTGAGAGCAAAAAGACCTGTTTGGGCAATAAGACTTTATGGCTCTTGGCCTCTTGGCACGTTTAGCCTTGCCCTCATACATGGCGGTTGACAACACGCCCACAATGTATTGCTGGATTGATTTGCGCAGCAGTGACAAAAGAAAGCCCGCTGTTTTCAGTCAATTGGAAAAGGTTTGGAACCGACTGAGATTGGCAATTGCGGAGCATTTACTGGACACGGGACACAAAACAGACTTAGCAAATGCTGAGGTTTCGAGGCGAGAACTACGGTCCACGTCACAGAGACTGATAGTCGAGGCGGTAGAAATAGCAAAGCATCCCAGTGTCAACAGAATAGAAGGCGTGAGACTGGCAAGCGCGTGGTGGACAGTTTTAGATCAGCCGAGCCGACTCGTGTTGGTGTGCGGTCATCAGAAGTCCACTTGACCTCACCCCGCCCCCGGTCAAACTAAATTGTCGGAGCACTCATAATCCCACAAAGACCAAGGGAAATATACCAGTGACATCCGAGGTGAATTGTCAGCTGAAGATTAAGAAACTAAAGCCGATCAGAATTAATTTGAAACTCCCCCACTCCACCAAAGCAAGATTTTGACAACCACACTAACCGACAGGAGCCGTTAATTGACACTCAACACCGATCTAGTGTAAAGAGGATTTACTGATTGTTTCTCCGTCTGTCTTATAACCTGGATCACTTTGTCTGATGAAGTTTTTGTGTCAAAAGCGAAACTTTGCCTAAATAGAAATCTACCGATTGTTTACCAAGCCCTTCTAAAAGGTCGCATTTCTTCGGTAGGTGAAGCGTACCGGCTCGCCCAGGTAATACGTACAATGTTTCTAATTTCACGATCCTAGACAAACTTCGATCACCTGAAATAAAAAAGTACGACTAATCTAATGTCCCAATCCCACCAAGTGAATGTTGTAAAATCCGCACCATATTTCAAACAAAGTGGTCACTTTTCTGTCAGTAGCTGTGAATTACTTTGTTTAAAGCTAAATCTGGTGTCTTTCCTGACAAATTAGCAAGATTTTTTTTATATTTCAGTCTTTTAAATTACACCAGGACTAGGCGAAGTTGCAACCAGAACGCTTGCGAATTCGACAGGTCACTCAAACCACTCGATGTTGAAAGGCCAAGAAGCACTGTACAAGTGTTTCGTTTCTATTAGAAATTATCAGTAGTGCTTATCCTACGAATCTCAGTGAGTTACACTCATCATCCTTCTGAGAGGGCGTCACTCCATGAGCGAAATTATCAGTAGTGCTTATCCTACGAATCTCAGTGAGTTACACTCATCATCCTTCTGAGAGGACGTCACTCCATGAGCCACCAAGTACGTGTACGCTTGATACGGCCCCTGTGTTTGAAGGATAAGCGGCCCTTTATGCTGTCCAAATGACAGCCAATCACCACTTCCTAGCTGATCTAGGTCGGACGTTTAACAATGCACCACTGGCCGGAAACTCCGAGTTCCGTAAGCTTCCTAGCTGATCTAGGTCGAACGGATAACGATGCACCACTGGCCTTGAACTTCGAGTTCCGTAGGATGCGCACGGGAAATGAATCCCAATAAAGATAAAACAGATGTTTAGTGCTTCTCAGGTTTTTCCGCATAGACTTCGCTCATTAACCCACCTCAGACGGACTAAGACCAAACACAGGCCAGTATACCGTGTCCCGGGAGAGTGTTCCCGGACTAAACCACCGTTTCATAACTACTTTAAGCATCTTTCAACGGTTTGGGAAACGAAGCTGCTTAAAGTAGCTACTTTTCAGATGGCTTTCACAGCGTAAAATAACTATTCGTGACGAACTGGTTTCATTCATCGCCGGATCGATATTATCCCACGGTATTCAAAAACCGGTCACTTGCCGATGTACGGTACAGTAATCTGCCGGTGAAGTCCCCAGAGCTGTGGGATTCCACATTTCCATTTTCAGACACGAACCCGCTATCGATCGTCTGTCGGGTGACCGTCATCCAACAAATGTTTACTTGAACCTCCACATATTACAACAGAAATTGCAGACCAGAGTACACCCAGATTGGTCAACTTCAAATCGACTTACAAAGCCAATGTATCCAGGTCCGCGACAGACTGACTCAACTTGGATTTGACCAAAGCACGCAAAGATTCGTACATTTCTACATCCATGCTGGCCGTTCTCCGAAAAGCTGTGGAAATCACTGAGTAGTAGAATTCCTAGTTGAAGAGAATTAGAATAGAAATTCGCTTGCTTGGTGTGTTGTGAAAAATTGTTTGAGGTGTACGTGATGTAAGGATAATAAGAGTCTTTGAATTTCTTACTCCTTAACGTCAAATTTACTGTTTGCTGTGATTTTCTTTGAGATTTTTGTTACGATCTTTGCAGCCTCAGTAAAGGATGAGTGGCCATTTTTTACAATTTGTTGGTAGCGAATTTGCTGCCACCGTTGATCCACATGTGAGAAGGTCGTTGAAGTGCCAAAACGTGATGTCAGTGGAATTCCAACGAAGTTGAACAACCGAGAATGAGCCTCCCCCCACATCGGCGAGTATGACGTTTTTGGTATGATAAATCCAGCTTGTGTTCACTTCCATAAATCGATTGAAGTCCCACATGTGACCGGTGAAAATGATCTCACCGATTTTCCAACAACTTCTGAGGACAACAAGCCTCCTTTTTTGACCCCCACCGCTTCAGACAACGGCGGACTTTCAAGTAATTCCAAGTAGACTGACTGACTCATTCGACTGATTATTTCAGGAAAAATCTGCCTGAAAGATATTGTCCATCAGTGCTTTGTGTTCCCCAGCGGTCTCCCATGTAACCGGTGAAAATGATCCTACAGATTTTCCAACAACTTCTGAGGACAACAAGCTTGCGTTTTTTACCCTCATCGCTTCTTCTCCCTATTCGAAAAACGGCGGACTTTAAAGTAAATCCAATTAGACTAACTGACTCATTCCATTGAATATTTTAGGAGAAATCTGCCTGAAAGATATCGCCCGTCAGTGCTTTGTGTTCCTAAGGTCCTTTATTTGTGGACTAGATCTGCATAAATCGTGACGTGGAACTCTGAGCTCAGAATAATTTTGCGGTTAACACAATATGATCTCCTTTCTAGCATATTTTTATCGGTACCTAGTGTTATGTTCTGTCTCGAACTACTGGGTGCAATGCTGTATTTTCCTTGTGGTGTTTTATCTGAGTGCTAATTCTTACTACTAATCATCAATAAGTAGCTGAAACAGGATGGAAAAATGAGACGGCGGTTTGTTCAAATCAGCTGTGGATGTCGGCAAAAAGAAAGTATTCAAATCAAAATTTGGCTTCTGTTGAGTTGCTGGTGGGAGAAATGTTCTGGAATTTCTGTGATTCTGTTGTTGTGTACCAGTTGTGTACATTGCCTAAGACACAAATGAATACTGTGATGAATTAGGACACATTTGTTCGCCGCGACAGACGTACAGCTGAATGTGGTCCAGATACCCTTTTTGGAGCCAGTGTCTCTGTTCACAATCAGACCCTTTATAACATCGATCACTGATAACTGGTCGATCCAAATGGTTGCACACAATTCCCAACAATTGGTATACTGGCTCCTGGGTGTGCCCCCACTAGGAACGAAGGCACATTTTTGCTCAGTTCCTCTAAAATTTGTATCAATCTTGATGTGCTTCGTTGGTTTCCGTTACTGTCCACTCCCTATATTTTGTTAGGTATCAAAGAAATGGACGACCATGAAACTACTTTGCAAGCGAATTCAGCATCCATTAAACTGTAATCGTGCAACAAGTGGAAAGCGCCAGAACATTTTTAGAGGTCAGAGTTTAAGAACCCAAGTTGGTAGTCGAATCCAGGTAAAAATTGAGGTGAAGCAATGATGGGCATATGAAACACGACATCCGATGACTATGTAACAACCAGTCCACATGATTTATAGGCTTAGATATTGACCGGAGTGTAAACGAGTTCGAAAAATCGATCATTGTCCATTCGAAGCGCTATCGGTGAACTACACCCATAACGTTTTTCGACGTTGGGCAAAGGGTACACAACCATTCCCTTAGTTTATCTCTTTAATTGTTGCAGTTCCCCTCCGGCAAAGTTTTGCAATATATGGATTAGAAACATCTAAATATCTCACGTCCGCTTGAAACAATCCATCCTCAGTTTCGTCGGTATAAAGCGTACAAATAGCAACAGCTTGAGGTTGGTATTACTAGTAGAAAGCGATTTGTTCGGAGATGACGGATGCTAACACTTTTAGGCATGAAACAAAACCTACTACTGGTTACATATACGAGTAGTTCGCGCCACCTAATTAACTTACGCGAATGTGTTTGCTGGGACCGCTCACGCGGATTTCAAATCCACCGTCAATGACAGACAGTTCATATCTATAAACCATACAGTACGGAGAGTATTTTTTAATAAAGCATTCAAATACCAAACACGTTCATTATTTGGAAAATAAATCAATAACTATAAAATGGCTTTGTCAGGATTCAAAACAGTATTGAAAAATGCATTAAAGTAAGCCGTGGAAAAATCCGAAAAACTCGAGTTTCAGAGTTCTTAGTGTAATTATATCTGCAACGTTTTTGTTGTTGAGCGTCATATAGTAGATGAAAGTTCTTGACCAATCCCAGCGTACTTTACTTAACTTGTATACCCCCTATCCTGCAGCAGGCGCTAGAAGTTGTACCTAAACAAACAAGGAGAAGAATTTTATATTTCAAACGGAAACCAAACTAATGTGTACCTTGTTTATCACTCATCAGACTCGCTTTCTGGTGGTTTACTGATAACTTGTCATAACAGATTATGAAAGCGTCCAACGTGCCACGTTGAGAATAAGCTACACCAATACGGTTTGGTTGGAATGATCCCTCTGACTCAGTTTATGACGCCCGTTATTGTCGTATTTTAGATGTCGTCCGTAAAACTTAAATATGGAAGAAAACTTTCGCGCAGCTAACCTGTTTCAGTCTATCGATACACCATATAATACCTGATAAATGCTCAGACTTACTGCATACGCTTGTGGTGATCCTCCCTCCTCTTGTTTGACAAGGTTTGCCGCAGTTCTTCAACAAACAAAATCAATAGTGTTGAGCTGAAGTTGATAGATTGTGAGGTGCTTGTTAGCAAGTGGTGGAGGGCGAACAAAACACGAGACCAGCTACTTCTCTTTCGATGACATCAGCAGAAAATTTGTAAGCTTGAATGGTCATCGGCTAAATCGAATGCAATCTTTAGAAACTACAATTCAATCATTGTAGCACAGAGCTATGATATTCCTAAGAGATAGTAGACAGCCTTCATCCGTTGATCACGTTGGACTAGGTGCAAGGTTTCTTAGGAACTTAATGTATAACATAACTTTTTGATCTACCACGGGAGCCACGAATTGTGTGTTATTTGCCAAATCGATTGAAACACACACACAAACCCAAACTTACAACAAAAACGTACAACCTATTTCCACTCGTTTCTGTACACGAGGATACAGATGGATACAAATCACTTCGGATGATAGTTCATATATTGGCCCCAGCAATACCCATAGAAACGAAACGAATTCGTGGAAATACGGCACTTCATTGCTGAAACAGTCAACACAGATACTGATATCGATTCATGATCGATCCATCGATCATTAAAACCAGAGAAATTACAGAACTACGGAGTGCAAAAGTGTCACAAATTAGACGAGGCGTATATACAAGAAGCCGGAAAATAATAAATCCAAGTGATGAATCTATCAAACCGCCTGATTACGGGACGAAAAACAACTCAACATAGGAATTAACCTATTCAACGTGACCAAATCGCTCATCGAACGAGAAAGTGCATCCGGCCAATCAAACGCAAGGTTAGACTGCGCCGCAAACTGAGAACGGACCAATCAAACCAAGAAATGGAACTAATTAAAATATAAATCAACACAATTATCACCAAGCTTTCAGAAATATGGAGAACAGTGCAACATAACTCGCGGACGAACGATGAGAGTGGAGACTAGAATCCCAGGAAAGAGGCTATCGGACAAAGCAGTCCAGTACAGGAATTAAACATTACAATGCAACACAAATTGCAAACGGATCAATAAAACTACAACAAAGTTATACACCAGTTAACCCAACGCATGAAAGTAGGTCAGATACTGTTTGAAAACTGTCTAACTCCAGGCAGCTTAAAAGGAAGTAGCCACCCAACTGCGAGTTGATAAACATTTCTTGACGTGGGATGCAACGTTTGCATACCAATTGCCAAGCTCGGCAAACAGGCCAACTTCCATCTGACCAACACCTAAGAACACTAAGAAGTAAATTTGTAAAGTGATTTTTTGGTATAACGCGAGTATTACTGCGGCAATTTGAAGAATCATATCAGCTAAAATGTACGACCAACTACTTCGGATTCGTGGCTGCTGTTTGTACTAACGGCCAGTAGCTGAGTATACAAGTTTGCTCATCAGCGGTTTTAGCACCCGTATTGGAAACCAAAAAGATATCGTGTTCTTAGCGAAGATACACTCATTTGAAAACTAATTTGGTTTTTTTTTCGGAGACTCACCTGGAACCCAGCTAAATCTCCCGTTTATGATGTTCCCAGGCAACCGAATATGCTGCACCAGGCCGCCTCATGTTTCAGTCACTACAATATTCGAGATATCGCGATACATGTATATCTTTGTAATGTACTGCTGGCTGAAAATCCGTCGACAGCCCACGACCGGTTTCGCCCTTCTTGGGGCTCATCAGGTAGGCGCAGCCCCTGGGTTTCCGTCAAACTTATGTTCTACTTGAAACCAAATTGCACGAACTTAGCGAATATACACTCATTTGCAAACTAATTTGGTTCTTTCGAGATACTCACCTGGAACCCAGCTGAATCTCTCGTTTACAATGTTCTCAGGCAACTGAATGT